CGGCGCCAGGAAGCCTGAAACGATATCTTACTTGTGTTCAGATCGCTTCACGGAAGTTAAAGAATCAAAACTACTTACTAGTTGTAGTAAAATATGCATATGATTGATGACCATAAAGATTTTCTATGACACAACTTGTAACATAACGATTTCTTCCTCGGAAGTGAGGTTGTGGTCGAAGTAACAATAATATTGTAAGTAGTATTATATTGACACCCACCTCGCTGCCACGAGAGAAATTGTTATGTTATACGCTATGTCATGCAAAATCCTATTGGCCATCAATAAAATACATATTTTACTACCAGTAGAAAGTAGTTTTGATTTTAGTAATTCGGTGAAAACAAACCTAAATACCATTTATCCTCAGACTGGCGGATGTTCCCGACAGTATGCATTTTTAAAAAATAAAAATCTGTTAGAATTAATGAGATTATAGTTTGTTTTCATCAAGTTAGAAAATCAAGACTACTTTCTACTGTAGTTAAATATGTATTGGAATCATAACCAAACGGGTTTTGCATGACACAACTTATAACATAACGATTTCTTCCACGAAGCGCAGGTGGGGTCGAAGTCACAATACTGCTGCGCGATAAATTTCTTGCTACATTCCCATGGTTAATGTCCACTCACCAGTATGTAGATACTAGTCAATGTGAGTCTTTATATTTGGTCTTATAATCCTAATTAGTTTATTATCATACTTGTATGCATTTTGAAACTAAATAAAAAGCAGACGATCTGCTGATACTTATAGTGAATTTATAACAGAACTGTAATATCTAGACATTTTATAGTTTGCCAATGTGAATCATAATTCAGCACACACACCCTAGAGCATGTTGTCTGTCTCATTACACTTCACGGCGAAAACAATGATTCTGTTGAATGTTACGACAAATGAATAAAAACAAAATGCAAATATTAAAATTAAAACAGATTAAAGATAGGAACAATATCAGGCCATTACCTTGTTCGAGGAATGTATCCATCAATATCCACAAAACTGTTCCAAATGATGTGTCTTTTAACAGTTTAATACACGAAAAAAGTGATAAATCTTTTTCAGGTATTGGTGTATAGTCTCATTGGTCACCCAAGATAGCACACCTGGCAACTAATTGCATAATGTCCGCCTTTCTTTAAAAACAGTAATTTAGTTAGCCAATAATGGGCAATCAATCAATGTATTGCCGGTTAATCCTTTGAAAGAAGGACGTTGTTTTTATCATGAACACCGCACACCGACAGAGTGTATTCAGTATAGATTAGTAAATTTACATACATAAACACTACCTTTTGACAATTCCGCTGTGTAAGATAAAAGTAATTAATCAATCAGCGTGTTATCGGTTAATCCTTTGATCGATGTTTATAATGTTGAATATTTACTCCAGACACAAGAAATGCCAAATGGGAACCTTTGTCGGGTAATCTAAGTGTGTTACCACTAATTACACCTGTTATAAATTCATTAACTGACCATCAAGTGAATGATGACAAATAACATGTGTAGGTTTATATCACCTAACACAGGTTACAACAAGGACTATTAATTGCTGTATTGCATGTGAAAACTTATGGGCCGATACTGTTTTGAGAATACAAACAGATGTTTACATGACATGATTAAATATCGAGGTAAAAAAAACACAGAAATGGGATCAATTTAGATCAGCCATTATACAAATAGGGCCTAACGACACCAATCGATTTTGAAAAAATCGTCTATGAAAACAAGTTGTAACTCGGAAACTAGGCAAAGCAGGAGACAAAATTAAATGACAGTAGATTGTGAGAACATATAGCTTTAATTTTCCACAACAATTGTCACGATTTCAGGTTTATACAAGCCTGTAAACAAGATAATTTAACCCCTAAAATGTAGATGAATTCTGCATCGGCCCTCAAAGCTATTCCTCATATGACGTCACAGAGGCGCGCCGCTCTGATTGGCTGAAATTTCGTTCGCGGGTGAGAATTGTGCACTGTTGTCAAAAAGGTCGATTTAAGTCAATTAAAGGTCGAAATGAGTAGTTTTAATGACGGGGTTTCATTTATAACGATGCCAGTTAGTGATTTATGTATTTTTACCCCCTAGGGTTTATGTGACCTTTAACTACAATACTGTATTCGTGAATAACTATTTGTATTTGTTACCCAATATTCATGATACGTATCATATTCGCCACATAGTGTATTCGTTGCAGCCCTAATGTACAGTGACATGTATTGACAAAGTCAGCGAGCCTGACCACCTCATCCCATTAGTTTGCGGAAGACCAAATCCAGCCCGGATCTGCACGGGTTCCAAGATAGTTTAACATATGTTATATTTGGGATTACACTTTCTTAGTAAAGTACAGATTCTAGTACTTTTGTTGGGTTGAGTCCCATCTGGGATTATAACCCACACCCTCAGAGTCAGGCACCAGCACACAAAGTCAGATGCCTAGACCGCTCAGCCACCGCGGCTTCCCGCGGTAATCCCAAATATAGCATATGTTACATTTGACCACTTTCTAAAATGGCATTGTGTAATGGCAAGTTAGTTGTAAGACAGATGGAAGTTCTGTGGCAGGATTTCTGAAAGGGGTGAAACGGTATACCGCGGTATTTTGCCTTCAGTTCGGTATACCGTAATGCTATAAAAAAAAATTGAAATGTTCGGTTTTCGTATTGTCGTTTCTATCTAGTCATAAAATGACAGTTTTGTTCATTCAAAATAACAAAGATTATGATTATTTCTTTCCATGCTATTAAACAATATAAGGTTTGGCTCTTGTTGCTAATCAATATTCTGCATTACGATCATATCTCATATACCGCAGCAAAAGGGACTGAATCGAAGGCCTTGTACTGTAATACGTACTGTACCATAGTAAGAGCGTATCGTTTCACCCCTAGTTACGGTAGTGAAATGTCCAAGCTATATATTACAACTATTAAAATATATAATAGAGATAATTAATCATCAACTGAATATTGATTGATTATCGATAAACATTTCAGAAATTTTGAGCAAGACTATATTCTGTTTGAGTATGCTTGTTTATATCTGACCCAAGAGACTTCCCTTGCTATAATGGCCCTTTGTTATTATTGCTGGCCACAGGCCAGAGGGCCAGCAGTTAAACCAGCCTCTGGGGCCTGCAGTCATGAATATACTGTCATCTGACTTATTCTGCTCCATAGGGATTCTGGGTCAAGCGAGTTCACTAACATATTGAGGCATAGTGGGGTGGCCTAATGGTTAAACGTCCGCTCATCATGCTGAAGATCCAGGTTCGATGTCCCACAGGTGAAATAATTTTTCAACTCAACCTGACAGCGGGCTGGTGGCCCATAAATGTTGCCTGCCCAACTTGAAAGTTGCCTGCCCACTTTTTAATTTACATTTTGCAATAACTGACAAAACAAACACATATCATTCATAAATCAAATTTGTATTGATTAGGCAACATATTATGAGTGAGTGAGTTCATTTTTATTCCACACTCAGCAATATTCCAACTATATGGAGGCGGTCTGTAAATAATCGAGCCCTGGAAAGCAACTTATTATGAACAATAACTTAATGAACCATTAAATATTTACAACCTGTGCACTGTGTGCTTATACAACTTTGAGCTAGATATCAATGTCACAGTCAGAGTAGTCACTTTCGAGACAACAGATTCTTCAGAATCATAACAACTATCATCAGAACTGTCAGAGTCCTCTACTGTTGCCTTGAGAGCTGGATCTTGCAGTTCTGTTTCATTCTCAACATAAACAGTATCATTGTCATCTTTAGCTGTGAGAGTGGTGAGTTTTCTTTCTAGGTGTCGTGTTCTGCGAGGTTTTACTCGCAACCAATGATGGATGGCCTGAGTTGCATCGTAATCTTCCACCTCTTCAGAATTTAGTTGGACTGTCAAGAGATTTGACACTGTGGAGCTGCTCAGTTTGTTTCTGATTTCCGTTTTGATAATTTTTAGCTGAGAAAATCCACGTTCACATTCTGCTGTGGAGCCAGGTAAAGTCAACAGAAGGTCAATCATGTGCAGACAATTCTTGTGTGTCTCTCCATAGGTTTCCCACACAACATTCCAGGACAGTTCTGAAGGCTTGTGACTGAAAATAACGATATCACATTTTATAACTGAATGAAGGTTATCATTTTACTTTAGGCAGACTATATTCAAAACCTTACTAACATAAACATTTCTTCTTTACTTTCTTTAGTAATTCAACATAGCTGATGTTTATTTCCCATGTTAGTTACAAGCATCCATACTTGACAGTTCCCTTTTGAACATACCTAAACTGTAGATATGAAATGCAATGTACATCACCAAGTGTATATAAGCCTTTGCATTCATAGAGTGAGTGATAACCCTGAATGATACTTTCCACAGCATGCATCTTGTATTTGTCTATAGAGACTATAAAACACAAGTGCACTGTAATTACTGATGTCTATACAATAAGAAGAAGATAAATCATGGCCTGCAATTGTTTTCTTTACCTATTGTAGATCTTAGTTTTAGACTCATCCACTCCTGGTCAATCAGATCAAGCTCAATGTCAGTGCGGTTGGTGAGGAACTCTCTGTAGTGGTCTGTGTGATGGCTGTAAGTTTGTCTGCTCCAAACTCTTTGAAAAAGATCACATTTGCAAAAATAAATGCCATATGGAGCATTTGTTGTTTCATGATTGCAACTGACATGTTTCATGAATTGTATTATGAAATCATCATCTGTTAACATATTAATGGCGTAAAATGCCTCACATACTAGAATGCCTCTCAAAAGTTCATCCATGACATAAATACTCAATAAATTAGGAGTTTTTGCATAATATACAACACACCTGAATCAAATGTATCTGGCCATGACTTCAAATCTGCAAGGGAGGATGCAGAAAGTAGAGAATCAGTTATGTCGGAGAAACGACTTGACATGGATATGATGACTTCATTGAGCACCTTTTTCAGAGTGGGCGATGAAACAGCCTCTCAGACAGTGACTGGCCATGGAAAGTGTTCTTATTCTCTACTGCACGTAGATGAAATCCAGGTCTAAAATTAAACACAGTGCAAACTGTTAATAATGTAATATGCAAAATCAAAACATAGATGAATTTGCAATATTAAAAAATAAAACAAAAACTTTCTCAACAAAATGACTTACTTTTCTTTCATCTGTTCCAGAGTAGCAATAGTAGCCTTTAACTGTTAGTGGCACTCATGGATGGTCACATCCTTTCGTTGTAGTTCTGCTGATAGTTTGCTCAATGTGTTCAGGACGTCATGAAGGAAATGAGCATACACTATAAGTGATCTCTGTGTTAGGAGCTTGAAGAGGGACTTTGCTTTGATCTGAGCAGAACTGTCTGCACCACTGCCAGGCCCTGCTGTCTGTAACAAGATTAACATGAACACTGAAATTAGTAACATTGGAACTTGATAATTTATAGCAGTAACTCAATATTGTGCAAGATGGTTTTAAACAGGTGAGCTGCTTGTTTAGTTTTGAATTTTAGTTTTTTTCGTTTAGTCAGTGCCGAACCGGCAAAGAAAAGTTTGATATTTTATTAATATCTTTAAAAGATGCCAGAGAAGTTTGATGTTTCACAAATATCATTACTTATGTTACAGAAATATTACCTGGCCAGTATGGTGAACAAAAGCTTTATAGCCTTTCCACAACTGCTGCAGAGCTGTGACAGTATGCCCAACCCATCTGGTGCCCCAATCCTCGTAGGCATCACTGGTGCAACACCAAGTGATTCAAAAGATCCCTTTAGCATTGATCTGAATCAAAATTTTTATCATTAATAAAACACATAATAAGTTTGACAAATTCAAACAACAGTAAGCTCAACATCTAATTCTTTTATAACTGTCAAACACTGACTGTCACTGACAAGCAGAAAATTTAGAAAAAAGAACATTTGCCAAACTTATGCTCAAAGAAGCCATTATAATCTGATTGTATGATATTTTAAACAGTACTAAATTGATTGAACTCAATACTGAAGCAAAACTAAAAATAAACAAACCTTCAACCTTGAACTTGCAAGTAAGCTAATGAAATTATGAAGTTTCATGGCTGTACAATTTACTGAAATTAAACAAAATAAAATTGGTGTACAAATTATAAATTACAAAAACAATTATAAAAAGCAAAGACAATAAAATTATGTACTTCATGAAACAGAAGTTTACAAAACTAAAAAAATTACATAGTCAAATTAAAATTTATGAATAAATAAGGGTAAATTAAACCAACAATGAATGTGAAGAACTGAAGCCTTAATTCTTAACTGTCATTACAGTTTTAAAATGTGTATGCTAACTGCCAAGTCCTTCAGATTTTAATACCTTTCAGTTTGTTGGGTAAAATTAAACACCATGTTTTTAGTTATTTACAAGAGCAATTGAAACATTTAATTATAATAATCATTTTCACAAATTTGAATTACTTAAGCGGTATCTTATCTTTAATAACAAAAAGAAAGGATTGACATTAAAAGTTAACTTACCTTTGGAGATAACCTTTGTAGAAAGAGTAGAGAAGATGAAGCATTTTCATAACGTCTGCATACTGTTTTGATGTTTTGAAAGCTGCCTTGAAGCACAATTCAATCTGTGGGCCATGCAGTGAATCATGACAATGGCAGAAGAAATGTTTTTCTGAAGATGGACGATGACACCATTCTTTTTCCCAGTGTTAACAGATGCACCATCACAACCAAAGGCAATCAGCCTATTCTTGACTGGAATATCTGTGAAAGTGTTCATTGCTTTGAGCAATGCTTGATAAATGCCAAGAGAATCTGCTCTTTTGACATGGATTAACTTGACGAAAAATACAAAGATTTTTCCTCTGATAGCACATCTGAGGTAGACAATTTCATTTTCTTGTGTGCTAACATCTGTGGAGCCGTCACTCAATATTGAAAAGAAATTGGCATCTTTAATCTGTTGTTCAATTTTCAAATTCTCAGTTTCTGCAATAGCTTGTGTAAACGAAGCAGCAGATTTATCTGATGCATATGCTTTACCAGTTTCAATTCCTTTTCTGGCATCAAGTTTTCGTTGCCAAACGTAATCCATAAATGGTCTTGAATTTTTAGCTAGGGCATGACAGTTGCTAAACAGTGTATTCAGGGTTTTGAAAGCTTTTGCATTCAGTTTTCCATCGATTGCTCCGCTGGAGATTCCCGGGTCTCATTTCCTTCGCTTTGTGAAATTCCACGGCCCTAGTATGACCAAATGACAGATGATGGGTTTTTAAAGCATCGTGTTTCAAATTGAGACAACCAAGCACAAAAGGTCCACGTTTATATCTATCATAAGAGGAAGGAATCCTTGTTTGCGACAGCGGGCCGTAACACGATCTGCATACTTTACAAAACAGAGATTGTTGGTCGGTTATCAACCAGGGAAATTCACCGCTCCACTTACTCTGGTATTTACGTGTTCGTTGGGTTGTTTCATACTCCTTACTCTTTTCTTTCTTCTCAATATCCTTTTCTTCTTGTGTTTTGGTATGAAAATCTTTACAATTAGTCAAAAAACTGAATATTTTTGACTGCGACATCGTGGTCTCCCTCACGCCGCCATTTTGTAACCAATACAAACGAGTAAGTAACGCTCTCTTTGATTGGTTCTTTTTTAACCATGTGCCTACTGATATCCAATCATAGCGTAGCTTACTAAACCAGCCAGTTTTAGTGTCCTATTACTATCTTCACTGGCAGAAGAGTTGTCCATGTATACTCGTGGCTTCCATTCATCTTTCTTAAATCTAAATATGACATGACAGTTAAAATGGAATGATCGTCCTGAGTGCGAACTGAAAAATGTCAACCATAAAAAATTCCAGCCAGACCATCGGGCTGGTGGAGAGAATTTCCAGGCAGCCCGACTCAACGTTTACCGGCCACGGGCAGTCGGGCAGGCCGTTATTTCGATCACTGGCCCCGCCCCATAAGGTGGTCTCAGCTCTACGGTGTTAGCAAGTCTTGAATTAAGGCATTGAAGCTTCGATTCTTGTAGCCTTGAGTCAGTGCCCCGCCCCATAAGTTGATCTCAGCTCTACAGTGTTAGCAAGTCTTGATTTTGGTATTGCAGCTACGATTCTTGTAGCCTTGAGTCAGTACCCTGCCCCGTAAGGTGATCAGAGTGCTACGTTGAGAGCAGGTTTTGAGTTAATGTACAAGGGCTACAATCGTCGTAGCCGGAAGCCTGATCAGCCCCTAATTACCAGTCAGGACGCTGCGGCATGATAACAACTATGTATCTAGTCAGATAGTTAACTCGGATTAGAACGTCTGCTAGCCAGGCAATCAATAACCAATTACTGAAACCAACAATCAATATGGATTGGCTGGTTTTCTGAATCAATAAGCAATCAATTATTATCCCACATTCAGCATCACATTTGTCAGCCTGCCATCTTGATTTAATTTCCTTTGTGCGTGAAGTTTAATTACGATGCTGTTTTGATGTATTTGTCTCAATACGCATCATTGCATGGACAGTTTGTCGGCCATTCCAGAAAGCTAAAGAGTTGAAATGACCACCAAGGTTTTACATGACACATATTAACCTGACGTGTGCTTCTCACTATATATTAAGCATCTCTTGTTTTCCCGGAATAACCGCATTTGAGGTTTTTGTTTGCTCTCAGGTTTTGTAAGTAAGAGCTCTTCCCAGGTTTTACCTTTTGTAAGTAATACCTCTTTCCAGGTTTTACTTTTTGTAATTATTTTTTCCTAACTGTATATGAACATCAGCATTCAAATGATATATGAGTGTTTGAAATATTGAAAATATATCGTCCAAGATCAATTTCAAAGTGCAAATGTTTTCTCAAGCAGGATTAGAACCGCATCTACCAGGTTAATAAGCAGACACTCTACCTCATGGCCTCATGGTCACCGAGCCGACGAAGATGTTGGGGTTGAATTATCTATTTATAGTTACTGTCAATAAATTGATTTTACTTGCGCTTCATTTATTGTTATGTAGCTTCATTAAATGATCATTATAATTATCCATCACTGACGGTTTATATGTTAGGGAAAACACTTCCCCTCGGTTTTGGTAGAGAATGTAAAACCTTGGGAGGACTGAAATCCCTCCTCCCTCAGTTTTACATTCTCTACCAAAACCGAGGGGAAGTGTTTTCTAATTCCTGCATATTTGACTGAAATATTTTAAAATGCTCCCAAAATATTTCCATACGAGTCATAGCAGACACAAGATCATTTCAGTTTGTTGGCTGTACCAGAAGGCTAAAGAGTTAATATGATGAGCACCTAGCTGGGTTTTACAAGACACATATAATTCCTGCATATTTGACTGAAACATTTTGTAGAATGCTCCCAAATTATTTTCATACAAGTTATAGCTGACACGATATTATTTCAGCTTGTCAGCCGTACCAGAAGGCTAAAGAATTAATATAAACAGCGCTTATCTGGGTTTTGCATGATGTATAATTTGTGCATATTTGATGTAATTTTTTTGTAAATTTGTAAAATACTCCCAAAATATATTAATATGAGTCATAGCAGTGATGGCTGAATAGAAATTGCCTTTTAGGAAGTAGACAGATGAAAAATGGGTAATATTTAGGATTATCAGGGTTTTACCTTGCCTTACAAAAGCGGAGGTGTGGGGAACCCCCATCAGTAAATATTACAGGTCCTTGCTGGTATTATGAGGGTCCTGTAAAGTATACTACCTATCAAAAGATTACTTTCACTTAAAACAATCACTATATGTTATGTATATATATATATGGTTACATCGAAGATTAATTTCTCCACTAACTTGGGGGAACCAACTGCAAACCTTATGCAGATGAATTACACGAGGATCATGCATCAAATTGATGAAAAGCATGTGCAAATATTGTGCCTGTGAACAGCTGCGTTTTGGTGTAAGGTTTTGTTAAGAATTCGCCAATTTTCACTGATTTTTATCATTTATTGAACTCTTGACAATAATCTTTTCAACGTTACAAATTTGTTTTACAATACATCAGTTCATGTGTAAACAGTCCCTTTAAACATTATGGAATATTTTGCAAAATGTAGTTTAGAACAGTTGCCTGAAGTAAGTTACACTAGTGAGTGTAAACTATTGATGGGAAGTATATTTAAATGGTGTAGTGCACTATATGTTCAGATAATGACTTCAGAGCCTGGATTGAATCAGTGGTCATGTGGTACAGTGGTCATGATTGACGGAGAAATAACAGGCACTGATACTACTCTTGATGTACTGTTGGTAGGTTCTTGGTATTTTTGTGGTTCTCTCCGGACATGGTATTTTGGGTTTTATGTGTACATTCTCAACAAGTTTGCTTAGTTCACTCACATTTGGGCGTCACGTAAAATCCTGGATTACGCTTCCTCAGTGAAGTACAAATTCCAGATTACATGTTATCAGATTCCATTTTGTGGAAGCCTTGGTGGCTGAGAAGGTAAAGTCACTGAATTCAGGCGATTACTCCGAGTGTGAGTCCCAGATATGAATCGACATCCCAAAACTACTAGAATATTCAACTTTACTGATAGTGTAATCTCAATATATTATATACATATGGTTTTGTTTGTTGGAAGTGAGTGAGTGAGTTTGGCTTTACGCCTCACTCAGCAATATTCCAGCTATATGGTAGTGGTCTGTAAATAATCGAGCCTGGACCAGACAATCCAGTGATCAACATCATG